ACAAAAATGGTAGGCGCTCAAACGTGATCGAAACAATGCAAAATCTTGGTGTGGTTCAGTCGTTTTTTGATCGCAGTCAAGGTGCGCCTTCCAATGTCCAGCTGTCTTCCAGCTATGGGAAAAGAAAATGTCCTGAAGCATCTCTCGGTGTGCAAGTTCTGGATTTCTCATGAATTTTCGTTGTCCCACAGCGTGCTTGATAACTCGGTGACTTTAAGAATAACAGGGTCGTTTTTGGGATCACGCTCGACAGCCGGACACATACAAAATCCCCATCAAAAGCCGGGAAATTGTATTTATTATCAAAGAAATTGTTTTCCCAACAGGCTTTAAGCTGCAGTGACTTGACTATCATTGCTTGCCCAGTCTCTATGCCCTTGGTGGGCACGGACTGCTGATAGAACCTGGACCCACAACTTGGCTGCGACAAACGCCCGCAATCCAAAGCGGATTGGAACTTCAAATTGCACGTGGCAGGGAAGGAAAAAACTATGAGCACGTAAACAAACAACCAACATGAACCAACTAAACAAACCAACAGACAAACACGCAAACTAGCGAACAAACAATCTAAAGCATCATAAAGCATCTGTCTTTTGTTTGAAACCACTTGTTGAGCTCCACACTTCATCCGCTTCTCTGCTTCCAACTCGTGTGGAACACACCGCCACAAACGTCCACCTGGCCACTCAGCATCGCAACTTTTTGCGAGCGACCACCCAAACACCCTGCCCGCCTCCCCTTAAGGTCCTGCTCAACGAGACTCCTCGTAGTAAATCCATGTCAACATCCTGAGAATTTGCGACGCTGAAGGTAGCCTTGTAAAATGCATGATGCTTAAAATGAAAGTTGGTCAGCACCAATCTATGGATCCGTGCCACTTGCGGCCAACCAAGCCAAAGCAAAAATTACAAGTTCAGACCATTGTTTCCCACTCGACAGGGCGCAATGGGCAATGGGGGCAAATTTCGACATTGCAGTGAGACAGTGCGAGGCGCCTGCAATCTTCAGTACCAATCAATTCGAAACAAACACGGCTGGAAAATTGTTATCCAGTCGAGGCTCCAGAACATTTCGTTTCGCCTCCGTCAAAGTATGACCTCGGGTGAGGCCAGCTCTCTGTGAACAGTTTTGAGGTGCGGCTTAAAATCGGTTCGGTCCAACCGATGTTTGCAGTTCGACGATCTACAAACAAACATGTGTTTTGGTGTTGGTTCGTTTAGGGTTGGAAGGCGGAGGTTGTGGGGGGGTTAAGGTTTAGGGGGGAATGTAAGGGTTGCAATACAGGAGTTTAGAATTGTGTGACGAGTGGTTTCACGCAAGAAACCCAAACAAAATGATCAAGCGTGATGGTTCTAACGAACATGCTTTTCTTGTGGCGTCTCAGGCTCTACATTGCTCCCCACTTTCTGGGGATAATAGCTACACCTCCTAAATTTAAACATAGAACTCCAAAAATGCGGTTTGGAAATGTTGGGAAGGTTATTTTCATGTAAAATCTAGATTTACATTTTGGGTTTGCATGTTAAATCTTGGGGGTGATGGGGGCACGTGCCTGCCCGCCAAACGGCTCAGTTACGATTAGATCATTAGCTACTAATGCTGGCCAGGTGCTGATCTTGGGACGGCGGCGGATGGAGTGCTCTGAGTCGCTTTCGCTTTCGCTTTCCTGGTAGGTGTTTGATGAATTCGGTGAATTTGATAATGGCAAGTTTGATGCTGCTTATTATCAGTATTATATATATTATATATATTGCTATTGTTCTCCTTGCTACATTTGCCATTGAAAATGACTGATGGATACTGATGGTGGGATCTTCACCTTACCAAGTCTTGGCTCAAGGCTTGCCCAGGGACTGCCACGTTGATGCTCACACTCCGTGAGGAAAGTGTCCACTTCTTAACACCTCATCCCCGCAACACTTCGAGGACTCCGGTAGCCGGTAGAGCCAAAATCTCGTTGGGGGTAACCAGTGGTAAACCATACCATCCAGCCATCCAGCCATCCAGCCATAGATATCATAGATTCCATGGACGCTTTTATGTATTCCGGCCATAGATTCCATGGATTGAAAAATCCTGGGAAACCCGGTCTGTTTCCACGGGGCGCTTTTTTTTTTAGCGCCCTGAAAAATCCCGATCCCCCGGTTGATCCCAGCCAATCCAAATCCCAGGGACCATTCCGAGCTGGGACCATACCGTCGTCCTGCAACAAGGGGACCCGGGTATACCATCGCCCAGTTTCATTGGGGGCCAAGCTACATAGCTCTAGCGCTTGCTCATATCATTGATAATACTCTTAGACTCTTAGGATATCCCGTGTTTATTGAATGTCGTTACAGAACATCATAATAATAATCATAATAATCATAATAGGTAAATATACATTCAATAATCATAAATCATGTACATCTATATATATATATATTATATATATATTCATGGGCCATTTAAACCATAGTTGTATATATGTTTAACATTGCTTAACGACCAGAGGGTAACTCACCGAAAACCCATGAGAGTGCACCATCTCTGATGACAATCCTGGTGCTATAAGGTCCAAGAGTCCAGAAATGGGACAAACATGGACAAACCCCTAACTCCATTGGCAAATCATAACATTTCTCCATTGCTTCATCTTTTTTTATGTTGTTTTTCTCTTGTCATCTCTTGTCATCTCTTGTCATCTCTTGTCATCTCTTGTCATCTCTTGTCTCTCTCTCTCTCTCTGTGTACGTTTCCATTGTTTCATCGATGTTCACTGGCCAGAAGTGGCATCTTTCTTGGCCTCCGTGTCCACATCGAGGAAAGGACTCAAGTGGCCTGGGCCTCGTCTCAACTCATCAAGGATCATCATCCATGATTGTCGAGAATGAATCGACATGAGATGATAATCCACACACATGAACAATATCAAAATATAGACATAGATGAAAAACAATATGAGGATCCATGAAATATCTACATTTGCAATGAACAGTCATTGATGGTTATCCTTGATTATGGAGAATTACTCTGGTGATAAATATATCATCTTGTTTGGATGCGTTGTTTGAGTGTGGGCGAACCCAGGGTTGGCGGGAACAAGTTCCACGGGAAGGTCCAATGGCTGTTCGTTCCTTTTGTCAGTTCCACAACTGCGCATGCTAAAAACCTGACAATCTCTGGTGTATGCAAGTCACTTTGGCTTACTTTCAACCATGTTTGGGGATGCCTGCATGTTGCAAAATGAATCATGCAAAATGAATATAAATGAATCATGCGATTCACATTCTAATTGTGGATATGTTGCGGCCCAGGCCCGGTACATGATATGTTGGTTCTAACAGAAGCCATTTTTCAAGAAAGTTTTGCAGGGGTGATGTTCAAGAAGAATCTTTGATCATTTAGCAAACAACTTCATGTACCAAAAAAGCCTTCGACATTTTTTTGCTGGTAGCCATTGGTCGTTTCAGCTAGGCCCTTTTTCCTCGCGCGAAGTTTGACCAAAGCACTGAAGGGGGGCAGTGCCGTCGTCGCCTCGATCGCAGTGGCCTCAGGGAACTATTCTGAGGAATTCTGAGGAATTCTGCCCCATCGAATCTCACTATATGATATGTAATATGTCCAATCACTATATTCTGAAGAATTCTGAGGAATTCTGAGGTCTATATATATATATATACTCTACTAATCTCTACTCTAATCACTATATGATCTATATGTCCAATCTATGATCTTTCATGATGATGATATATTTTTGTCTGTTTCTGCGCAGACTGCAGGACCCAGCCTCCACAGTCTCTGGCGGCAGTGTGTTTCCAAGCGCATCACCTGAACGAGTTGTTGTCTATTTAGTTTTACCCTCTGGTAAACTAACATAGCTATTGAAAATGGCCATTGATAGTGGATTTTCCCATTAAAAATGATGATTTTCCATAGCTATGTTAAATTACCAGAGGGTATCTGAAAATAGAGTAACATAGAGCAACATATCCTCCTCTGGAAAGCCCTTTGTTTGGTTCACACACAAATCCAAACTGTTTCCAACGTGCCAAGCCTCTCTCTTTGCAGGTCACTCAGGTCACCCTGTCCCAGCCGTGGGTATATCTCTTTATGTTTTATATGTTCACCATTAATACATTGCCATAATTTAAGGCTATAATTATCCCATGATTATCCCATATTTATCCCATTTTCAAACACACCCATTTGCTTCGGCGCCCCAGGTGGGATTTATGAAGTGGCCATTTCTGCTGCTCAAGCGGCCGCAGCAGGCGCAATCTTTGACCGGCTCCGCGGTCGCTATCTGCCCCATGGCGTCTTGGGTGACTTGCTGGATGCGTGCGCATCCGAAAGCGAAACTGCGCTCCTGGTGTTTGCTTGGATGCAATGGTAAGAGTTGGCATCTTGAAGTTTCGATGACCTATGGCACTACAGTTCGAAGCCTAAAATCAGATCATCAGATCCCACTTCTGTCGGCACAGATGGCACTTTTGTGCACCGGCCTTGAGCCAACCTGAGATCAAATGATGGCAATCATAGGAGGACACTGCCATCCGAAAATCCGACACCCTGTGCTCTGCAACTGGCGGGTTGCTAAGGATCCTGCTGATTGGGAATGGGGTCCGTGGTAGCCCTTAGAACAGAAGGAATATGCAGCAGGATGCGATTGCATCCACACACCATCCGCCAAGGTTTAGCCACAGTCCCCACAAGATCCAGAAACCAGCCAATCATGCATGATGTGACAGTTGGCGCATATGCAGAAGATTTTTACATGGGCATATAAAATCAAAAACCAAAGGACGCATACCTATATATATATATATGTGTTTGCGTGTGTGTGTGTATTGTATATAGATGCATGTCATGGACATAAAATGCACACACAATAAGCACATACATATATATATATATATTATTTGTAATATACTAAAAATTACTAAAAGTACTTGTCTACGTCATTCTGGTCACCAGTTTCCATCTTGTGCCACACGTGCCGTAGAAAACAGCCTCTCCTGCGTGCCATTGCAGGCCACGGGCTCCAATTTGGCCACATGCCCCGGACGCATGCCTGCGCACACACACACACATATGTATGCATGTATATATATATATATATAATATGTACACATGTACTGTATGTATGTAAATATATATATATATATATGGTCACCCCCCCACCAGGGCCTACCTTGAGTTTTTTGGTGGCATTTACAGCAGAAAAATATTGATTTTATTGTCCAGCTTTTTGTGTGATTTACACTTAACTTTTGTTTTCTTGCAGTTCCTCAATTGCCACCTGGTTAGGTTGCCTTCCATTCAAAGTAAAGTAGCCTTTGTAGATGAATTAGGGTGAATTAGGGTTATGTTGTTCAAAAAATGGTTCACTTCTTTCACTGGGATGTAGTACTGCAACACAATCACATCGAAACACTAGAATAGTGCCTTCCCAGACTTCAAAGCAATATATTTCTGGTTGTAAATTATATAATTTTGCCACACAAAAGAAATGAAAAAAAAACTGCCTAGGAACTACATGAAGCATTCTACTGGATGCATTTTGTTTTCCAAGGTGCGTTTTCTTGTTGGATTTGGCTACATTTTGAAACCTATATCGACCATTGTCATGAAGTAATTAATCCATTTTGCACATGAAAGTTTTTTGTTTTTCTCTGGATCAGGTTTCCTCTTTGTGAACACCACATCACAATATGACCAAATAGCCCTGCCAAATTTCCAAAGGATACAGGAAGAAAACTCATAAATTCTCAAAAATGTCGTGCCCCTTGAAGTTATATTCTAGTTAATGGTGGAAGTACAAACAATGTTGAATGAACAAGACTTGCTGTTTGAGCGACAAAGCGCAGCAGTTGATCAAAGAAAATGCAGCATGTTGAGCTGAAGGCAAAACTGCAAACAATGCAATTCTTCTTTCAGCTGCTCTCACTCCCCAAAGAAGATTATATAGTTTATCAATTTTGTACCTGTGATACATTTCAAGCCAACAATGCTTTGAAGAAATGAGATTTGTAAAAGTGTAATTTTCATTGCAAAAATGCAGCATCCCCCTTGTCATTTATAAGCTGGTGGCTGCCTTTGAGCTAGCACAGTTTTTTTTCAGGAAAAAATCTCCTCATGAAGGTTGGAATCCTTTCTTGAAAAAAAATAGTCCTCTACAAAGTGTATTGTGTTTTAAAGTGCGGCATTCCTGTTTTCTTTCTTTATCATGGCAACATTCCCTCCAACAGATGCTGTTTTCTTCAAAGATTAAATACTTAATCTAAAGCTGCGATCTTGTTAAACAACGGCAACGATATTGTTTCAGAATATGCAGTGTATCCTTTAAAGATGTAGTACTCCTCTCAAAAGAAGCTCAGCTGTCCTTTACACCATTCCTTTGAACATACGCAACACTCCTTTCAAAGAAACCCAGCTGCCCTCTATATTTGGACAGGAAAACCATTTATTTGAAGGAGAGGCTTCACTCACCACAACGAGAATTGTACATTCCCAAAGGCCTCACACCTAAAAGGAAAATTGCACATCCTCAAGGAATACCTGCGCATGTTTAGCATACAATACTTGTTTGATTATGGTTTGTGAAGGATGCATCTGATAGACACATGATGCCTTAGAGGCCAGATGAATCAGATTTGGCTTGGATTAATCTGGATTATGTAATCTGGATATATTCTAGGGATCAAATCCTTGAAGAAAACCAACAAAACCAAAACAAAAACAATAAAAAAAAGAGTCTTGGGTGACCTACTTTGGGATGGGGGGAGGGGAGAAGGCTCTCCAATGCATTTGGTTTTTGTGTTTTTTGTTTTTATGTTTGTATTTGTGTTTTTTTTGGCAGATGGCAGATAGCAGATGGTTGACCTTGCAATGAAACAGTCAATGAAATACAAAAGAAGGTAGGTCCTGGTGGGGGGTGCGCATACGTATATATATATATATGTATATATCTGTGTGTGTAAATACATATGAATGATATGCATGTATCAATCCTATACATTTGAATATACATTAAAGTTCTATATTGGTATGCATGCATTTAATTTATCAATCATAATATATCGGTGCGTACACATATGAAGTGTATAATGTTGCAAAGCCAATGCACTAAACCATACCCAGTTTATCCAATCTCGTCCCAGTTGAGGGGAGTTGAGCAGTATTAAAAGCGTATAAGTTAGGTTTACCACAGTTAGATGTGCACAAAAAATGGGTAATAGTCCAAACATTGCAACTTTTTATACGGAAGATCAACCAAGAGATTTGGGGTACTTTGAACCCATCCCTAACGGGTTCGTTGGGACCCACAGCATCTACCCATAGCTTTACCAAGGACGATTGTCATACCCGTGTACCAACCAAGAGTATCCAACGATTGGATTGGGTCAAGAAGACATGTGCAGCTCTTGTAAGTTTGTATATATATATGGGTTTCCTGAAATGGGTACTGGTAAATCATCCATTTTAATAGGATTTTCCACTATGAATTATGCATCATCCATTTTTGGATACCCCCATTTTAGGACACCTACATGCAAGAATAAGGGCGCGGAAGCCTTGTTGCTACACAACAGAGTTTCACCATGCTTCACCAATTTTTGAGTGTTCTGCACCATGGGCATTCCGTATCAACTATGGGCATGCATCAAAATTGGGCGCCCAAAAATGGGGGATGGTTTACTAAGTTTACTAAGTGAACCGCTAAATATGTAGAGTATGCTGGGAAGGGTTTACTATAAGCTTCCAACTGAAGAATACCAAAGAATGATCAAGATAGGTCGTCCCCTGATCCAAACCCAAGCCTCCAGTCCCCGAGAAATACATGCTGCCTGCACGGGCCATGTGGAACCCATAGGGGCTCTGAAGAGATGACCGGGTGTCGATTTTTTGGACAAAACTTAGGATCTTTCACCATGGTCATTGGATGTCATGGGTGGGCAATAGCTATTAATTACATGGGTACCAGCTTGGACTGGCATTCTGATCATCTTGCTCGGGATGCGCCCCGGGTCCATATAGCAGAAGGACATCCACTTGCAGATCCTATGTCGATCCTGGAACTGACATACATTCCATGGTCCTCCTGCGAACTTAAGACTTTTCCTTATATTCCAGCCATCTTGTTGGGTACAAGTTGAAATCTGAGACCCTATTAATTACAAGCCAGAGTGTTTGGCCAATCACAAGCTATACCCCATTTATCCATCTGGGGTTCCCGAAAAACAAAACGACACCAATTCCCTTCCAGTTGCCAAGCTTAATCCACAAAAGTCGCAGATGGTTCAGGCCTTCCAAATCGTTGCTGGACAAACGATCCTGTGCTTCGAGAAGAAGCACGTCATAACCATTTGAGGCCATCCTGTTGGTGCATCCCGGGAGGGCCAACAGAAGAGGCCGATTTTCCAGAGGTATGATGGCAGGATCAGTCACGCTTGGTGCGGGCAAGCGTCTGAAAGCAAAGGCCCATGTTCTTTGGATGCTGATCGAACCTGGGCCCCAGGGCGTTAGCCAAATATTGTGGGATGATTGGGAGATGGGGATTTATCGATATTTATAGCTTTCGGCGGCTGTAAATCATCCAGAAGATCAATGCCTGGAAAGATATGGTGCAGATGGATGCAGATGCTGCATGACCCATCATGACCCCAAGCAACCCAACCAACAGTCATCATGTCTGGCTTGTTTTCCATATGTTCACCGCTTGAAACCATGGTTGCCACCCAGTCCCAGTCGGATCTAGTGGCATCTCGGGATAAGAGCCCTCAACTCCATCCAGCGTCAGGATGGGGATGAACAAACGCCTCAACCCCCCAGCGACCTCACCGGTCAAACCCCAGGCAGGCACGGGCAAGCGCAGGCAAGCGCATGCAATCCAACAATCTAAAATACCACAACAGACTACGTGTATATCAGTATATCATGATATATCATGTATGCATATAATGATGATACATATATATGTATATATGTATGTATATATTTATATATATGTGTGTGTGTATCAACAGAACCGTACATCATATACAGTACAGTCTGTATGTGCAAGGCTGGCCTGATCCCGATCACTTCGCTCCATAAGTCATCCCAAAACGGTGGGACCTTCACCGACGGGACCTTTCCGCACCAAGACACTCCAGGTCAGAGCTCTTCAATCGCCAACACAGGCGCTCGCAGCCTGGGAAAAATGGACACAGAATTTTCGATACATCAGCCATCAGCCATTCTCAGCCATACAGAATCTCTTGATCCGAAAAATAGGTAAATCATGGTAAATCACAGCTCCCCCTGTGGCACCTTTCCAGGACCTTCTTCCACTGCGTTCTTCGGTCAGCATGTAGATGGTGTGGAAGCTGGAAATTTCCTGCACTTGCTGCCAGGAGTGGGTTCCCAGGGGCTTCCCACAAGTTCAGCAGCAAATGATCGTAAAGTGTCGACATGTTCATGGGGATATAATCATTCTGAAAATTTAAGATATAAAATCATATCTAACCATATCTAACCATATCTAATCAACTATTCCCTCAAAAGTTGAATTATCATGAATTATCTGTAATGTGGGTAAAACACTAACAAACCATCCCCCGAATCACCATAAATATCCATAAATAGATGGTATGGTTTACCATCCTCAGTCATGGGTGGTTTATCATTGTTTCAACCACATTAGTATGAACTATCCGATAACTATCCTCATAGTAGTATATAACGCTATACAAAAATGTCCAGCTGCCACACCGACCTGGTAGCGGTGCTTCCTCAGGAACTCCTCCTGAGTTAGACATCCACCATATTTTTCCCAATTTTTATGGCGCACAGAAGTTGGATTTTTTTGGTACTGGTTGGATCTGGTTGGATCATTGGTTGGATCATTTTCTACACAATGATCAAATTGTACATTGTACAAAAGTGGTATACCAAAATTGTGAATGTACCAATGATACCTAATAGATCACAGCACCAAATTCTTTTTATACCACATTCGCAAGGCTGGTTTTTTACCTGGCAAAGTTGGGCTGCCACATCTGTCACCTGAGGACCTGGCTGCCACATGAATTGTGTCAAACTAACTGGAACCACTTAAAATCCCGGCTGGTCCAAAGAACCGCTGGGCAACCAAGAGGGGTATAAATATACCTAAATAATATTAGTACAGGTATGTACAGGTATATAGATATATAACAGTTAGGCGGAAACACCATTGAACTTGAAATGAATTGGGAAAGTCATTGGGACCATTTTGAGTCAAAGCCACATGTTACCAGCAATGTTGGCCAAGCTTCGATTGAGGGGCGACAAGCTGATACGCCCTTGGACTTGTTGAGGAGGGACCTGATTTCCATTGGTTTCCACCACTGGCCATTGCTTCTTGAAGTCAAACGGAAAATATATGATATTATGATAGCTATGTGAAATTCTATGAGAATATGGATTGGAAAAATTGCTCAGTTGCTTCTCCAAGGCCATTTTGAGCTCCATGTTGACTTCCTGGTTATCACGAGTAGCAGTTGTTGGGTGTATTGGTCCTTTTCCATGCGGGCCTGACTATACCATGATTGCAAGGTCTGCAATTCCAAGTGTCAAAGTGGGAGCTGTGGCTAGCAAATCGTGGTAAAATCACAACCGCTTATGTGAATATGCATATATATATATATATACATGTATATATATATACACGTATATATATATATGTGTATATATATATATATATATGCGCATGTGTGTGTGTGTGCGTGTGTGCAAATACTATACATCGAGAGAGAGGGAGAGAAACAGACAAAGAAAGAAAGAAAGAAAGCAAGCAAGGAAGGAAGAAAGAGACAAAGCTACCAACCACAAGGTATACGGTATACAGTACCCGCAATAACGAAGTCGAAACTGGCCAATTCTACCCATTTGCACCGCAGAATTATACTGTATTACCAGATATTACCAGTGTATTCAATAACCCCAGATTGTGTTGGGTTCCAGTGGGTTCCATGTGGATTTTCAGACCGGCTACCCCATCAGCATCCAAACAACGACCGAGCGGCTTTTCCACTTCGGCGGCGGAAGTCAAATCCTGGCAGAAAATCCAAATCTGGGAGTGGCACATGAGGCCATGTGCAGGGGCGCGGGGTGTAGTACAACTAGGGCGTACCAAACCCAGTGACATCACTGGGAAAGTTGGCTTTCTGGGATTGAATCAGAATTCTTGGAACTCAATCAGGGGCAATGGTTAGCGGGGAGGCGCTTCCAAACATTGAGGGCCTGCAAGTCTGAAAGGCTGGGTCAAAAGATGCTGGCCTTTCCTACTGCAGTCTGGAGGGGAATTCTTAACAACTGTTAGTTTCCAGCGATATATGACTAGCATAAGGCCACTAGGCGATGGTGCCCATGGCTCTTCCCCAGCCACCCCCGGGGGTCGTCTCAGCCGCCTCCAGAAAGACCTTTGCCATGTCTGTCCTACAGCTGTGATTAGCCACGCATCCCGTTGCCTTTCCGGACTGTGATCATCCAAAAGAAATAGCAGCTGACCTTCTCCAACACTTTCCTGGTTAGATCCCATTAAACCATATTGAACATCTAATCCCATTAAACCATATTAAACCATATTAAACCTACAGATATTTTGCCTGGTGACATCCCTCCATCCCCGCCTCAACACCGCTTTGGCACAGGCCCTGAAGGCAGCCGATGCGATGCCATCGGCATCCAGGTCATAAGCCCCGAGCACCGCAAAGTCCACATCCTCCGCCAGCGGCACCCGGCTGGGAAGGGCCGAACGCCATAAGGCCTGCAAGGCAGCGCTGGCGACTTCCGGAAAGCCACCAATTTTAGGGGATGAAATTTCATCAGCCAACGAAGTTGGTAGAACCGACTCAACTCACAGGCAATCCACCTCGGAAAAAAAACGCATCGGTTTGCTGCAGTTGGTGCTTAAATGCCCATGTTCAGCTGCAAAATCCACTAGTTTTAGTGTGGGTAAATGGGGGTTTATTTGGGTTTGTCTGAAAATAGTCCCCAAGAATTGATGCTAAATCATGATGTTGAATATGAAACACATTGAAACACTCTTAATCCTGACAAATCCCCCGTTCTTTGGACCCAACTCTGATTTTTCTTGGACCTGCCGCTGGTCCGCGGTGGGGTGATCAAAGAGAACCAGGAACTTGGTGAGCCGAGCAAACTCCTGGCAGCGAACTTATATCACAACTGTTTAAAGCTGGGAAGATCGGCAAAAATATCGGGCTTTTCGCATGTTTTTTAATACATTCCTGTAATTTGTTACTCATCATTTACCTGTGAAATATATCTAAGTATGGTGGTTTTCTATAGCTATATCAAATTTCCATTTTGGGCAAAATGTTTCAACCAGCAAAAATGGAGGTCTAAGAAGCCCAAATTGGGGCAATAATGGACAGTGTCACCCACTGTATCTGGTGTATTTGGGGACATGGGGGCTGTGTAAATCATATAATCGCTCAAGAAGAAAACTGGGGATGCAAGATGCAATTGAATGTAATCAACGCAAACAGAGGCAAATAATAGTGTTTTGAAGTTTTAAGCATTGGGAATGTAAGAAACGCAAAATGAAATTGCGGAGCGGTTACGATCTGTACAGCCTAACACCAACACACAAAACTGAGGATGCAAGTTTAGAAACTGATGTTGTAAGTGTTTTAATCATTCAACATGGTGGATTTTGGTAATGCCAGCAATTTGCTGGCGTTTGACCACCAGCAAATAGAAAAATGCTGGATTTGACCACCACAAACTAGGTCCAGGGCTGTGGCCACCAAACATTGTATATGAAAGCATCATCAAAGCATATAAAAAATACCAAAACACAGTAAAACACACAGGGAGGTATTGGTGGGGATGGTTTGTATCCCATATTATCCGATTGTTCTCGTGGAATCCTGGTTTTGGTTTTATGTTGCCTTCCTGCAATCAAACATCGCTAGCTGGGAAATCCAAACACCAAATGGAGGTTTCAATGGGAAAAGCATCGAACTAGCTGGGGATTTCCCAGCAAATTGATTAGCGGAGGGTAATGACAGTGCTGATGTATGTCAGGCACATTGACGCACCCTGCCCCACAAAAATATCTCGCGTTTGGGTCTCAAGGTAATTTGGTGACCTCTCTGCAAAATTGAGAATTCACATGACTTTACAGAAGGGTTCCTGCGTGATTACCAGCTTGCAAAGTGAATTTCAATTTTTCATGGAAAACATTGGGAAACCGGCATTCCATCATTCCATCCCATGGTTTCAGCTAAAAGTTCACCATAAATTGCGGGATCTTCCCCACTGCACCTGAGGAAGCAGCTGCATCCGGAAGACATCGTCGGAGGTCACCAGCAGCAGCACCACACCGCTAAAGCGTTCGATGTGAAAAGCCAACCTTTTTGGATCTGGGTCAAGGAAGATAAAGAGATATGGAATCGAGGAGATTTAGACACATCCATGTAACAATGTATGCATGTTCATGCGTATATATATATATATTTTTTTTCATACATGTGTGTATATGTATAATATATATATATGTTTATACATATATATATATATTCATACATGTGTGTATATGTATAATATATATATATATATGTTTATACATATATATATATATACATATATATCATTATATATCCATCTATCTATCTATCTATCTATCTATCCATCTATCTATCTATCTATCTCTATCTTTCTATCTATCTATCTATCTATCTATCTATCTCTGTCTATCTATCTCTGTCTATCTATCTCTGTCTATAGATAGATAGATAGATAGATAGACAGATAGATAGATAGATAGATAGATACAGCGTACTGGCATGGCCGGTTCAAAGCGGCCGGCGCCGATAAGCCGATAAAGGACAGAGTCTGCCCTTTATCGGTTTATCGGGTGTGGCCGGCGCCGATAAGCCGATAAGCCGATAAAGGACAGAGTCTGCCCTTTATCGGTCTATCGGGTGGCCGGCGCCGATAAGCCGATAAGCCGATAAAGGACAGAGCCTGCCGATATACTGGATGTTGATGATTGTTGATCAACGTTCCCAGAAAGTGATGACCAGCCTCCAAAGAAGACCGGAGGTGAGGTAGCATTAAGCGCCAACCGCGTTTGAATGCTGTGGCTTGCATCCAATCGCTGATCGTGGCGGCCTTACACTGAGTCCAGCAGGACTAGATTTTCCAATTTCAACAACCTCCGTGGGCGGTCTGCCTCTGTCAATGAAAGTGGGGTTTTAATTAAATTTACTAAAAAACGACGAACGCCCATCCAACTTGCCACCAAAATACACTCACCAGGCCATCTTCACCGCTGTGAGAAAAAGCCAGTGTGAGCAGAGCGCCGCCGACATCCTCAGCCAAATTTTGTCCATTCATGAAGCGCTGAAAGAAAAAGCAAGGAAGCAGAAGTGCTGGGGAAAAGGTTCTGCGTTCGTGATTCGAAGATGACACGCCGAAACAATGGCAGATCAACTTTGAAAACAGTTCTATGTATTTTATCATAGTTTGATCCAAAGCCAATCAAATTTCTACTTCCCAGAGCTCCCAAACCGAGGTTTGCACAGAGATCGTGTAGGCCCTCTGATCGGTATTCGGCAAAGCTCTTTCTCCATTCCTCCAAACAACCCCGCAGGCCGAACACGTCTGCAATTTTGGAGCTTGAAAATCGGGTCAAATTCTTAGGTTTATCTTATCTGTCATAAACTTTCCCATCCATGTATCTTTTCGACCTCAATTTATCCGCCCAATTACTTTTCCAGAAATGGTTTCTCGTCCCTTCGCATGCTTTGTCTAAATAATTACTCTCTAAAATTCCCTAAATCTATTTCTCATCCCACTCCTGCCTCATTCTCTTGTCCGGGATGAAAGACCGCTTCCCATGGCTCGTCTGCCACTCGCCTGTCCACAACAAAGGGTGGACCAAACGCGCCTAGATGTTGTCCTATCTACGCAAAAGGAGGGTTCGGAATACACCAGTTGCAATGTGCAACTATCTAACAGACTTTTTTATATCCGACGGCAAAATGCAGTAGCAATCGAATCACTAGCAGTAGTCATTGAAATCAAAAACCTGTCTATTGAAAGGGAAACAAGACCCTTCTTTCACGATCCATGGGCCTAGAACGTCCAGGACCGTACCAACGGTGATCTGATCGGTCTTCTGCAGCAGGTGCTCCACCGTCCAATCGCCTCAGCTCAAAAACGTTTTCCATTGTCCATTGCCATTTCGGCCCACATGTTTAAAAATAAAATCTTAGAATGCCCACACAAGAGCCTGAACTGATGATGCAACCTTTCAGCAAATGACAAAAATCGCAGCATTCTCAAGGTCAAGACACACAGCAGCTTGGAGCGGCAGAACAGAAGCACGCAGCACGTGCAGGTGTAGAACCATCGGCTTGCCCAATTCAAGCCCGAGGCCCTTTTGAGTGACAGAACCAGCAGGGGGTCAGTGCTGGATTGATGATCACTTGCAACCCAATAGCACCGAGGCAAACATAATGCCAAGCCATGAGTTTTGTTCCGTGAGTTATCTACAATCTGGATGTAACATATTCCTCCGGGAACCGCATGAAGTTTTATCTTGTCGGCAGGGTCACTGCCCGTCCGGTTGCGGAGGCTTTCATATTTGCTTAGATCTGGTATTATGATGTATTATGTTTTTCCACCTGTATGGTATCTGTGTGGGCTGCCAGTTTCTTGGATGAAAAAAACTATATAGATGCATCCCAGCATCTTTTGACCAATTCATGTATTTCTGACCCGAAGACAGCTGCTGGCACGTCGTACACCCCATTGTCGAGGCTGAGGAAAGGGTTTTGCACCTTTGTCACCGTGTGTGGTGGACTTAGGTCTGGGACTGGTTTCACATTGTTATATTATTTTGCGCTGGTTGTCGAAGCAACCCCTTGCAACGGCAAACTATGCGTTTTTTGGTTCCGAAGGTGCCTTGAGGCACTCCAAGGTTTCGATTCTCCGTGCTTCCTCTGGCTGAACCTTGGCAAAGATAGCTGCCAAAGCCGCCAAAGCTCGTATAATCGTTTGATGTCGGATGTCGGAAGAACAAAACCGTAATCAAACCCACATGGCATTGATCTGTGCTCTCGGAGAAATGTTCGGTTTGAATTCGCCATTCTTTGCCGGCAGATTCTTGCTTGTATCAACAATCAACCCAAATCATATATTTACAAGCCCAAGAACCTTGAAGTGCCTCAGCCAAAACACTTCTGCAGCCAACCTGCACGACAGTATCGTGGAGCTGTGGAAACACCCGATAGAACAACAAACGTTTTCATGTCTGGAACTCACTCCCTTGCAGCACTTCTCACAAGGCCACTGAGCATGACACAATTGTTTTCCTAAAAACTTGGCAAATTTGTCGGGGTAGTTTGCTGAGCACATTGGTGTGTTCATTTTTTCCCCATTGGTTGTAATGGACACCTCAAATCACTGAAAAAAATTATATAGGCCTCAATACATTTCAACCCCTACAAATCCCTGTGGGTTTTCTGTGCGTGACGTCGTGACCCTCATTTTGTAAGATCCATGCAACCTGACCAAGAGGGCTCTCGGGTCTGATGGGGAATGCCGCATCAAGCCACCATTGCCGGAAGGACAGCTGCTTGCCCACAAGGCCGGACGACCAGGCAAGGCACCGGCGTATGCGCCGCCAGGTGGAGCTTCGTCGCCCCGCTTGGAGCTTCGTAGCCCCGCTTCCTTCTAGTTAGCATTGTTCAAGATGAAACATGTGGACCGCTGGTTTCAATGAAAAAACATATCAACTGCCCCCGTCAAACAATATTCACGGTCCCCAAGCGATTTGTCTGCTGATGACAATGCAATTTTGAGCTGATACAAAGTTACTTCGGCCAGACCATCTGCTTCCACCCAACTGCTCGCTGCATGCCAGGTTGGCGGAAAGCTGCAAATATGCATTGCCAAGCGTCACCACGTTTTTCTTGAGGTTCACCATCCTTTGGAATGGTGCTATAATTCCATGGCCACTATCGACTACTGGTCACTATCGTAGTACATGGTTTCATGTCAAGAAAAAATCAAAAGGACAAGTAACGTGCTCCATGTCGATTAGGGAAACAAGCATTTGATGTTTTCACGGGGATGATTCTGCATATAATACCAGTAGTACCGCACAAGGCGGCGGCGGAAGTTTCAGAAATAGTAAACCTATAGGCTATAGGAGAGATTGGTTGTTGTGAGTCACGGATGGCAGAGCGAAGCCACTGATGGACCGAAAGGTGCTTGGGGTCTCCACTCTATCTATCTATCTATCTATCTATCTATATCTATCTACCTACCTACCTATCTACCTATCTACCTATCTACCTATCGATCTATCTATCTATCTAGCTGTCTATCTACCTATCAATCTATCAATCTATCAATCTATCAATCTATCAATCTATCAATCTATCAATCTATCAATCTATCTATCAATCTATCTATCTATCTATCTATCTATCTATCTATCTATCTATCTAGCTGTCTATCTGTCTATCTATCTATCTATCTATCTAGCTAGCTAGCTAGCTAGCTGTCTATCTATCCATCTATCTATCTATCGATCTATCTATCTATCTAGCTGTCTATCTATCTATCTATCTATCCATCTATCTACCTATCAATCAATCTATCTTTCTATCTATCTATCTAATTATCTACCTGCATTGAAAACGAAGCTATTCTGCGAGATTTCCTCATTTTTTGAAGTTGACCACATCAAAAACAAAGCAATTCTGCGAGACCTCCTCCTTTTTTAAAGTTGACCACATCAAAAACGAAACAATTCTGCGAGACTTCCTCAATTTCTGAACTTAACAACATCAAAAACAAAGCAATTCTGCGAGACTTCTTCATTTTTCACACTTGACAACATCAAAAACGAAGCAATTCTGCGAGACTTCCTTCAAAAATGGAAAGTTGACTGCAGAGCTGACGGCCTCGTACCAATGCGTTTTGAAATTTTTCCACTCCATCTGTCTAAAGCACCGCGCCTGCCATGAAAAAGTGACGCCAGGTCGTACGAAGTGCTGCACCTGTGACGCAAAATCATCTTAGCAAACCTACAGATCTGATGCTCCAAAATGCAACCACTCTCAGGAAATCAGCGCCCTGACCTCCTAACATCTCTGATGAACATGTCTTTTTTACTGCATTTGCCGAGGAAAGTGCATCTTTGCAGATCCTCTTCAAATGTCCCACGCCTGCCATCCTTTTTGGAAATGCTACAAAACCCTCACGTTTTGCTCACCTTTGAGAAGGTGCACAATCCCTTGCGCCTGCCACGCGAAACGAGCTCTGAACGTCCAAAAGTGGTCCGAACGTGGTGTGTTTTGTACATTTTGACTTCGAAATGTGCTTCGCGCCACAACGGCGTGCACTTTTTCGACGTCGCAACTTCTAAGAATGGTCCGACCCTGATGTGTTTTGTACATTTTGACTTCGAAAAGTGCTTCGCGCCACAACGGCGTGCACTTTTTTTGACATCTCAACTTCCAAAGTGGTCCGAACATGTGGTGCTTTGTACATTTTGACTTCGAAATGTGCTTCGCGCCACAACGGCGTGCAAATTTTCATCTCTCATCTGGCCAGATGGCTCCGCACCCGCCGCTTTAGCGGGCCTACTTTTCGACCCTCCGGAGCCACAAATCACTGGAAAAACACAGTGTTTTGCGACTTTCCTACCTTTTCGCGCACCTGCATCTTCTTTCTTCTGACTCTTTCTCTTCTCTGATCTTCTCTCTTCTGCTCTTATCTTCTCTCTGACTCTTCCCATCTCTGCTTTTCATCTGTCCATATTGTCGGAAGTTTGACTTCTAAATTTCCTTCGACAATATACTAATTTGATATGTTGTCCATTGACAAAACATATGGTTGCATCCCCCGCGCAAGATGATACCCTGGGAAAGTCTTTAGCCTCGACAGTATGCATAAAGTCCCTCGATACGCTGCAATGAAAATTGAAAAACAACCCCTAGATTTCTTTATTTTGTGCGCTCGCCTTTTTTTGGTCAAACCATCTTGTTGAACAATTGTACTTGCCGAATTCACGCCAAGTTTGATGATTTGTTTTCCCTGTACGTCGCTGGCAAAGGCTTAACTGCACCAAACAGTTTGCATCCGGCACAGCAACGTCTAGCGGCTAGCTCTCCTACCTTGCATCGCAACCGAATATTATTTTGGTGGCTAGGGTTTCTTTGGTTGATATTGGTTTGGAACCTGTCTCGTGCAAGTCCATCCCTTTAAGTTATTTTAAGTTGGTATGTTGCACTCATTCGCACGCGGTTTGGCAACATGTTTTGCCGGAAGTTCCTGCAACAACCTAGTCAAACTAGTTTTTCGCAGGATTGTTTTGCTGACAGTTGTTCGCAACTCCGCGCACGGTTCAAGGAACCATTCTGGGTGAACACAGTGGCGGGGGAAGTCGTTGCTCTTCAGCTTTCAAAAACCAAAAGTTGTTCTGTGAGCACGTCCGAAGAACCAGCTTGTTTAAAAACATGAAGATTTAAAATAAATTCACTGAAATCAACGAACCTCGTCCTAATGCACAGCTGGCGACGAGTCTTGTTGAACTAGTTCTTTGTTCCCACAGCTTGTGGAATATATCATTTGGTTTTTTTCTTGTGCACACACTTTTTCTACCCTGGAAAAGATGTTGCGGATTACAAATAATACTTAGTACTCTGCGCACAAACCCCCTCTACCTTGTAGGAAACCATGTTGGACTCTGTCGAAAAATATTTTCTAATTTGCACAAAAACTTTTGTGTACTTTGTATAAAAACATTTTGGACTTTGTACACGAAACATTTTGTACCCTGCACAACACTATTCTGTACCCTGTACAAAAAACATTCTGTATTCTTTACAAAACACTTTTTGTACTTTGTACACACAAAAACATTTTGTACTCTGCAAAAGAACGTTTTGTACTCTGCACAAAAACTTTATGTACTTTGTACAACACTATTTATTTTGTACCCTGTGCAAAAACATTTTGTAGTCTTCACAAAAAACTTTTTGTACTTTGTACAAAAACATTTTGCACTCTGCAAAAGAACATTTTATACTCTGCACAGAAACTTTTTTGTACTTTGTACAAAATAGGGCCGACCCATCCCCGAGGGGTGGGTCGTCCTGGTCGGCGAGGCTTCGGGCCTTCGCCGCACGCAAGTCCGCCTGCAGTGGCATGGTCAGATTCGTGACCGCGCACGGTATCCGTTTCTGCATATGACGCGTGATCCGTGATGAATTCGGCTGCGTACTGTCTGCTTTGGCATGAACCCAAGACTTAATGTGTAAAAATGCTTCCGTCTGTAATTAGGGTATGTTGCGCAAGCCTGTTCTTGCCGTTCTAGACGCTCGAACTCCGCATTGTTGGCTGCGTATACGCAGATCGCTTGGCAGCTGTTTGTGTGTCTGTGCCGGGGTCTGTTTTCGTCTCTTTCTTTCTCTCTTTCTCTCTCTCTCTCTCTCTCTCTCTCTCCCTCTCTACTTGTCTCTCTCTTTCCAGTATTCTGTTGCTAAGCCCGATACAGTCAGTTCGGCGTCCACCTCCTCGTCCTCGGGATATGCGACGTGTTGCTAGTGCTATCCATCGCGTGATGCTTCCGTGTCAGCAACCTGTCCATGTTGTTTTTTTTGTTGTTTTCCTTGTTCTCCGTCGGCCTGTCGTTGAAGTCTGCCTGACTGAGGAGAAGACGGTGGGCAACGGCCGGGGCGGCGGAGCCGGCGCCTGCCAGAACACGACCAATCAGCCGAAGGCAAGGAGTGATTGGGGGCCTCTGCCTCTGGGAAAGCTTCTTGTTCTTCTGCGGCTTTTTTGCTTTTCTCCGCCTTGGTGATGCCGTGCCTACTGTATGTAGTTCGTCAAGCTCTCGCCCAACTTTTCTTTTTTCGTGTTTCCTTTGCTTTCTTGCTTTCTTTCTTTCTTTCTTCCTTCCTTTCTTTCGTTCTTTCTTTCTTTCTCTCTCTCTTGGGGGCGCAGCTGAGCTCTGGGCTTTCCTTTTTCGGTCTTTTTCGAGAGCCGCGACCCGGGCCAGGCAGACCTCGCGTTTGCGTCGGGGACGCGTCGTGCGTCTCGAGTTCTCCCGATTTTCCTGCGCGCCTGCGGGTCGTTGCTCTCTTTTTCCTCTTGTCGTTTTTGGCGCCTTTTCTTGTTTCTTTCCTTCTGTGCCTCTTCCTTTTTTTTGCGCTCCGCCTGCCGCGGCGTCGTGCTGGCTGGCTGCGCTCACGACAGGACAGTTTCTGCCGCGGGCCGAGCCTCGGCCTTTTTCTCTTCATCAAGGCGCTTTTTCTGCGCCTTTTTTTCGGCCCGCTCCCAGACCGACCCGGACAAAACCGGTAGGGTCACAAGGTATGTCCGATCCAAGCTAGACCGAATGGCGTGTGCAAACAGTTTGTTAAACAGTCCAGCCGCTGGCTTGCCACTCCGGCCCCTCCCACTCCGCATCATAGCTCGCACGACTTCTGACGCCATTGGTCTCCCACTCATGGTTCCCAACTTCCCAAAAGGCCCGCGAAGTTCTGAAGACAGGCGACCGCTCCTCCAAAAGTCCATCCACCTCCCGACCTTCCCACGCCACATACCACGTTTGCCCGTCCAGCGATTCTTCCGTAATCCACATCAAATCACCATGAAAAGTGGTGCCGGCGCCGATAAGCCGATAAGCCGATAAAGGACAGGGTCTGCCCTTTATCGGTTATCGGTTTATCGGCTGAAGCGCGAAATTTGAACCGGCGTTGCCAGTGCAATGGATAGATAGATAGATAGATAGATAGATAGATAGGATAGGATAGGATAGGACAGGACCGGATAGGATAGGATAGGATAGGGTAGGGTAGGATAGGATAGGATAGGATAGATTGGATAGATTGGATAGATTGGATAGATTGGATAGATTGGATAGATTAGATGGATTAGATGGGTTAGATAGATTAGATAGATTAGATAGATTAGATAGATTAGATAGATTAGATAGATTAGATAGATTAGATAGATTAGATGGATTAGATAGATTAGATAGATTAGATAGATTAGATAGGTAAGATAGATAAGATAGAATAGATAGAATAGATAGAATAGAATAGAATAGATAGAATAGATAGAATAGAATAGAATAGAATAGAATAGAATAGAATAGAATAGAGTAGAGTAGAGTAGAGTAGGATAGGATAGGATAGGATGATAGATAGCATACGTCTAAATATATGTGCGCATATACCTAAAACTTATGTATACAAATAAACATCGATATTGCTCATTCTGTTGGTGTCTTCAGGCAGGTGTTGAAACTGCCGATTCAAAATTTCTGCCGCGCAGCTGTTGAAATGCGCTATCCAGTCCGACGTCGGACTCATCGAGAAAGCTTTCCTTAGGGACGGCAAAGCTCCGGTGCTGGTTCCTGGAATTGCTGGAGACCCTGCAGTAATTTGTTGCAGTTTGCTATGTAAAATGGGCCATCTAAAAATGTTTTACCTCTAAAAAATGGGATTTGGTAATTTCACATAGCTGCAAGTAGCTAGGAAATCCCCGAACTAATTGGATGTTTTAATGGGAAAACCTTCGAACTAACTAACTGGTTGGATTTGTCCTAGAAATGTTAGTTTACTGAAGGGGAAGTGAAACAAATGGTAAAGATCGGGGGAGAAAAAATGGTGAAAAATCTCCAGTTGCTTCAATAGACTGGCACCGTCCATTTCAAAATGAATTTCAGGTGTGTCTTTCCATTTTGCCAATATCCCATATCCTTTACATGTCTGCATGCATTTATCTAGTGCTATTCATTTATATATATATATATATTATATAGAGATATGTATTTATGTTTATTTAAGCATGTGTTGATCCATATCTATATCATAATTATAGAGACACAAATGCTATTTATATATATATATATATTGGTTCATCTATATTGTGATTATATATAATTAGATGTACATATGTTTTGTTTATCTTCATCATTTTGGTGTGTGCCCAAGATGGCAACCACCATTCCCAAGTGGCAAACCCCAACCGCGCCAAAGCGCTGGGCGAATGCCTTCAATGACCAGCACTGCGTCGGCCGCCTTTGCCTCCTGAACCATCTCTAAACGGATACATAGCGATAGATATATGCAAAGAGTGATGGACATCTATATGCATATGTCTATAAATAAAGCATATATTTGTATACATTATAATCATACATACATATGGATATATTGATTCAACTGATATGTGCAATATGTATATATATATATGTGTGTGTGTAGATACGTATACGTATGACTATATACGTAGAGATAGATTCGCAGAGATACAAAAGATACAAAGAATTACAGAGATATGAAACACTGAAATTGCATGTAATGGCGTAAGCACTTGGAAGTTCCAAAGCGAATGGGCCCTTGATACCTGTGCAGTCTGTACCTCGTTTTTTTCTATGTATTCAGGCAAGCTGTTCATGATCAGCCCGACCTTCACGGGCCAAGCATCTTCCGAAAGAAGGGATGGTTCACTGGTAAAACATGGTAAAACATGGCAAAACTATCTAAAAATGACGAGGACTTGACATCTGATCCTCCGCCGTTGTCCCTGGCCTCAAAGGTGGTTTCCAAGGAGCCACCATTGGACTTGGCAGTCCTCATCTCCGTACTGACCTGTCCAGCGGAAACTCAGGTTTTTATCAAGGAAAAAATGGAGATTCATGCGGCAAACAAATAACGGAACGATTCACTGTGGGGGAAAGATGGCATGGAAAGTTCTTTAGATAGATGGACAAGCATTCTACTGACTGAAGACTTTAGCACACACTGCGCATACGCATCACTATGCATGGCGAAAAGACGCAAGATTGCTCCCCCTGCGGGTTGGAAGCTAGCGAAGGCCTGGTTTTAGCTTTGAAGTGTGAACACACTCCGCAGCCAAGGACATCTACTGAGATCCTCTCCCCCCGCAGCAAAAGCCTCTGGGAAGTTGACGACTTTCAGTGCCTGAGCTGACACCAAGCATGATTTAAACAAGAGGAACTTCCCAAAAAAAGGCTCTCCTCATCTCTCCTCCATGTCTGGCATCGTAGGGCACCCCAACCATAACTTCAACCTCTCTGTTTGATGCTTCTAAAGTTCTAAGGCCCAGCCCCAGACCCCCAAAATCCTCAGCCTGGGCCCCCGCAAGGCCACCTGCTGCTGCGGCACCCGTCCAAATTCAAAGCCCAATGCCTCAGCTGCTGCGCTTTTGCCGGTGCCCGGCGCTCCCCAGAAGAGCGCCACGGTGACGATGGGCCGCGCCGGGCCGTCCGGGCGGGAGGCCGCGCCGTCGTTGCGGCCATCGCCTCGAGTGAATTTAGACTGAGAGAGAGGGAAAAAAAAAGAGTAGATGCGAAACCCAAGAAAGCAAGAAAGAAGAATATGGGGTATTAATCTTGGAAATAGAGAGCCAAACGTACCAGTAAATCTATATTGTATTATTATATTATATATATATATATCTTTTTAAAAATAAACGAAATTTCACGAATACACAATATATAGTGATATGTGTGTTTGTGTTTATATATGTTGACCACCTGTTGAGGCCCCCAGATCCAAACACCAGGCCACCAGCATCTCCAAAACCCCAGGTCTCCAAGAGCAAAGGCCGCGCTTTTTCAAAGGCCACGATGTCCAACAGCTTCCTGAGATCCAGGCGAAGCAAAGGGATGGAACTCCTGAAGTTACGGGCGAAATCAGCGAAATCATGGGGATTTTTCTAAGCATAGAACACCTATCCACTAAAAATGGACAGAAAATAAGATAAATAAGCCATAGAGATGGATGAAAATCATTTTCGGATTGATTAACCACCAAAAACATTACAACTCGTGGAAACACATGTGAGTTTGGTCATGTATGAGAGAAGAGCATAGGTCCTCCAAATACTGGAAAGGACTGGCACAAAGGAGTACCCAAGCGTGGCCATTTGTTTTGTGCTTGCCCTCAATGATTTTGTCAATATTCAACCCCTGGACCGTCTGGTTTCCCCACATCTTATTGGTGAAAGTCTCCATATTGGGTACTTGATCTGCCCTCCATCAATCTTCATCAGAGTTTGCACCAGTTGGTTTCCGGCATTTTCTGTCGAGATATGATGACACCACCCAGTTCGGCCAGTTTGTTCATGTTTTCATGGCTGATAGACCCTTCACCAACCAGTTGGTTTCACATGACATTCTCTTGGAGAAATCAAGCCGGGGAAAAAAGTTACTGTAAAACTAATGCATTTCTCGGTGAAACCCTAAATCCATCTAAATCCAACAGATATGTTTGGTGCAACATTGTGAACCTTAGATGTATATTTGATAATATATATATAGTAATAATTGTTGAGAACTGCCAGATGCATCCCAGTATTTGTGGTTGACAGAATATACTCTTTACCAACCCCATGCTCTTAGATGTCTCACAATTGTCTTGGCAAAACCTTGAACATCCTAAGCCATCCTAAATACACTGGTTGGTGGTTTTAACCCTGCTGACAAAATATTAGTCATAAGGGATCATCATCCCAAATTAGCTTGAAAAAGGACATGTTTGAAACCAACAACCAGCTACAGTAGTCATTGGCTATGCAATTCTATACCCATTATATTCCCGTGATGCCACGAATTTTGGGATTTTAGGTCAAAAATTAAAATTGGAACCACCTACCGAAACATGCTGGTTATATATTATATTCCATTATATCCCTATCCCCATTATAGATATTATAGTTGCTTAAATCTCCATTGTTAGTTCATGAAGTCCCCATTTAAAACCATCAAAATCCATGAACAGTCCGTGAAAATTGCCAAGAACATCTCATCATTTCTGGTGTTGCTTGACAACTTTGATTGCTTTTCTTGGTCATAGATTCTCCCCATCTTCGCCCAACAATGTCAACCCTGGATTAATAAACCATGGTCTATTAATTAGGAGGGTACTCCCCAAATAGATATACACACACATACAATATATATATATGTGTGATACTTCAATGGTACCCCACATTAAACAGCCTAGGGGTTATTAATCCAGGACATTCTCCATATTTATCCCATATCTATCCCATATTCTCAATACATACAATGGATAATTTAGTATGGGATAAGTCATATACAATACATATAATATGGGATAGATATGGGATAAATACATACAATGTAATTTAGTATCCAGGATAAGTCATATACAATACATATAGTACATAATGGGTGTTAATATGGGATCATGTTGAGCATTATTAAGCCTAGAATGGTTTATACCACCCATTTGGGAATGGTAACCATACCACCTATAAAAATGGCGATGATATAATGTTTCTGGCACTGTTTTATCCCATATATTAGATTAAACATGGAGAATATGGGGTAAATATGGGATAAATATGAAGAATGTCCTGGATAAATATTATCATAGTATGATGCCATATTTTTTGAATCACCATATCACCAATATTTATCCATATATTATATATCCCATATTCCTTTGGGTGCTTTGGTCTTCCACCGCTTCCCGCGGTTCCGAGAACGCGCCGTGGCTCTGCTTCAGTTCGGGTGCCAGTACCAAGGCGTCCAGCCCCGCGCGCGGCACCAGGCGCTTGGCGAAGCTTTGCATCTGCAGGGAGCCGCGGACCTCCGGGTGAAATCGGCGATTCAATGGGGATCGACATGGGAATAAAGCCCCGGGTGATTTGTTACAGTTTGCTATGGAAAATGGATGAAAATGGTCCATAAAAATAGGATTTACTGGATTTGCCCTCCAGCAAACTAACAGTTTGCTATGGAAAATCACCATAGGTAAATCAACTATTTCTATGGGTCATTTTCAATAGCTATGCAACAAATTACCAGAGGGTATCCATATTTATCCAACAAAAAATTGGGATCTGAATGGGAATTACCATGAACTACCCTCTACTTATTTTGTTACATATATGGAAGATTTGGTCCATTTATAGATGATTTATGATGATCTCCCTATTAAGAATCGTAATTTAATGGCTATATAAAATGAATTGAAGTTAGTGGTATGCAGGTATAACACCAAATTGGAAATTGCTCATAACGGTAATTAGGAGTTGCCCCGGGGATATGTTTTCAATTGGTCACAATATGTCACAATAATTCATTGGCTCAAAGAATGATGAATTTACCGTGAGGGCCACTGGCTTTCAGCCATGCATGCCTAAAATATTACGATGGAAAGTGTTCGGGGGGCAGCTAGCAAATGCTTAGCATATGCTTTGCAGATCCTGAAGCATTCAGCATGTCCGTCATCACTGCCTGCATTATGCATCCGCCCGTGATATCCTCCTCTGTCACTCGGGGCTCGACATTGTTTCCTCAAAGGCTCAAGACGCCAAACGACTTGCACGATGATTTTGGATCAAGAAGTAATGATATCCCTGTGAAAGTGTTCTCAAAAAAGCATCCTAGAGAATTCCTATCGACGCAAAGGCATGTGTGAGGCAAGGGCCTTCCCAAAATTGGATGGCTCGCACATGCTCGCACTGCCATCATCTACCACGTCCCCTGGTTACTCTTTGACTCGTAGAAAGACTCAACCCACAAGCTTTCCCACATTCAACCAAGACTCTGGAGATGGCCAGCAGCAACGCGCTCACAATGGCATTCCTTTCAGCTGGTGTTGCCATTTTTGGGGCGGAGGTTCCCCAGTTCCCCGGAAGCCGAGGTGCTTGATGTAACCACCAGTGAGGGCGAATTTCATGGCGATCTTCTCCCAATCGATGTCCGGCGCCAACGGCACGCCTGTCCTGCCAACTTTCCCGGTGAATACAGCGGAGATCTTAAAATGAATCATGTGAGGAAAGCAATAGGATCCAACATCCCCAAGTTTTACGTATTTTTAGCCATGCTTATGGCATAATGGATGGATGTGGATGGTATCAACCATCAAAATATGGTTGCTGTGTTCAATTGCTTTACATTCTTGGTGGAACTCTGCACCGCACCAAACCACGCCAGGTTTCTGGGTGTAGAGTTTCCATATTTCAAGCCGTTGCAGGTGGTCCGGCTTGCCTTGGCGAATCCAAGGTGAAACCTCTGGAAACGGGCATTCAAATTCATTAGCGGCAAAGTACAACCCCTTCAAATAGTTGTTCGAGACCTTTAACCAATTACCATCCAATTACCACCTAATCACTCCCACCTTCACATACCTTCACCATCCCCAGTTTCATCCAGCGCACTGAAGGTGAAGACTGAGGTGATCCGTCGATACATGGCTTCATCCAGGTCGAAGGGTCGGTTGGTCGCCAGGAAAATGATCCCCTCGTAGCCTCGGCAAAACGATACGGCTTGATGGCGATGTTGAGGGGATCCCCACCCGGCAATGTTGAGGTAGTCCCCATCCTTGGGCAAACATCCCAAAGCCACACATGAAAAAAAATCTTAGCCATGATGCATCCATGATATTCGAAAAGTCACAAGTCATACATCCCATATCATATGCGTCCCATTATTGTGATTTTGTATCATACCCCATCTGACCCCATCGTATAAAAAACTGCATATGCCCACCATACCCCCATAAAATTGCTTGTTTTTATCCCATTGTTTTTATCCCACTATACTGTATCCCCAGTATAATATGCGTGTCCACGTTGTTCACAACAATTTCCGCCAGATTCCGCCGACATTGGCTAAATGTTTAAGGGATGCTTCCCCATATGTATATTGCACTGCATATAATCAGATGTGTATATATATATACGTATATATACTCCAAAATGTTGGTTGATTGGATCTTATTGGATAAGGATTACTGTACCTATAAGAATCCACCGTAATTCACCAACCTTACAGCTTCATAACTCGGGGAAGCCATCGAGCAACGCTCCATGGCGGTCAGCAACGCGGTGAGTTCGGAGGATCCTCCACTGGCACGTTGGCTGAAGAGGGATTCACACCTCGGCGGCGATGCCATGGGATGCCCAACATATCTATCTTTTAACCACAACAACGGTCATGTAGCAGCAAGCCATCTAAGTCTACTTCATTCATGGACAGTCGGACAGTCCATGTCATGTCCCCAAAAATTCAGGGAACTCCCGTAGACCAAGAACCTCGTGGCTGACTAACTCAACGGAATGGCGCTGTGGGTTGGTCAGTACGTGTTTAGTGAACCCATGCCTTGAAGGGCGAAGTGATCAGAACTTGAACGCATCAAGTGGATGTTTTCCAAATGGTATCAAGGGAGTTCTGTTTGTCGCTAATTGATGTTTCGCCCTGACCCTGACAGCCCTGAACTGGAAGATGCTTACCCCAGCATAGTTCTGGGGCCCTGAATTGTAAGGAAAACACCAACCCAACGGTGGTAACCCGATATGGGTTTGTCTGAAAGTAGGCTACCCCCCACTTTGATGATGAATCATGATCTTTCCTACAAACAACAAACAATGTTGTTACCAGTACCCTGGTCTACCCCATTTTCAAACATGAGATAAACAACCACGGAACTCGTCGAAGAAAAGCACTGCGTCGCTCATTTCCTTGGTATAGTATATCCACTGCGCAGCGCAGCCAGCATTTGCACAATTTCAGCATGTGCACATACATATACAACCATGCACGCATACAATGAAGATCAAGAAAAAAGAAACAGTGGCCGATGATGCATCAATGACAAGATAATAACAATAAAAAAACAAGAGGAAGGTGGTGGTGGCGGTGGCGGTGGCGGCGGCGGCGGCGGTGGTGGTGGTGATGGTGGTGGTGGTGATGATGATGATCATGATGTGATGATGATGATGATGATGCTGGTGGTGGTGGTGGGGTGGTGGGTGGGGGTGGGGTGGGGGGTGGGGTGGTGGTTGATGATGATAGTAGTGGTGGTCATTCCAAAACGATACCAGTCCTCCAGTCATCTTGGTGCTCCTGGTGGATATGATGGAAATGGAACATGGGTTGCTGGCAGCGAATGCATCAAAACATGCCAACGCGTAAAGGCTGGATGAGTGCAGGCAAACAAACGCAACGTCCCGCAAAAGGTCCACCACACATACTGGTAATCTAAGTTTCCCATTTGCCCTTGATCAATTTGGACGCAGAAAGATGCAAGGATGCAGCAGCACTGACCAGCGACCGGGATATGATCACCCTTTGGGAGGTGACGTTGGTCCTGGACCTCGAATGAATCCGGAATATTGTGTTGGAACATGCTGCGCCACTTTCTGGGGAGGTTGAAAAATATATGTGGTATATAGTGAATATATGTGAATATATATATATATAGTTATATACACATATATTATCCGCGTCTGGATGTAATTATGTCATCTTACGCACCTAGGTAGGTAGGTAGGTAGGTAGGTAGGTAGGGTGGGTGGGTCGGTCGGTCGGTAGGTAGGTGTCAAATGGCGCGATGGCGCAAGTACCGTAAAACGAAAGCAGACAGAGTCAGACATAGATGATGGTTCGGGTTTGGGGGCTAAAACTCTTGACCACAGTGACACATCGGATTCCTTGCAGCCTCGTCATGCCACCAAGCAACGGCCTCCCGAAAGAGTTTCAACACATTGGAGCCGTCCTCCTCATGGATCCCAGTGTCGCTGTGATGGCTGTAGAGCGTTTTGAAGTTCACCTAGCGCTGATCCACGTCCACGGCCACGGCCACGGGAGAAAGGGGCAAACAACACCATCCCCAAAACCCCCAGATCCACCATCCCAGGACCATCCCAGCAGCCGAGGAACCAGCAGCACGCGTTTTTCCAGGTGCGCAGCGAGGGCGTTGACCATCAAGGTCTTTCCAGTGCCACTGGGGCCACAAAACATCAGCACCAAACCTGACCTCGACATCTGGAGAAATCTGGAGTCATCAATATGTGTGGTGGACCTTTTTTCCAGATATGATTTGGGAAATGTTTGAAACCATGTTTTTCCATTGGAGTCAGCCCCCGCAAGACTTGGGATTATTTTTCGGTGAGGAAAAAGAGGCCAGTGAATCTCAAGTGCCATCTGCGGATGGTAAAAATATGTAAAAATCCTCTGCCACTTTTGCTGGGGTGCCAGATTCTGAGTCAGTTTTTTGATGTTTTTTGGGTATAGCCTGAACTTTTTGGAACATCAAGCAAAGATGTCAAGTGCCAATATTTGTTGCCTCACAAATCAATCTCCCAGACATTGTTGAGTGACTGGAACCCACCCTGGAAAGCCACCCCAAAGTTGGACCAAATCAAGCCGCCCATGCGCAATGACATCATCTAAACCTGAAGACTTGCGGTACTTGCAGAACCTCAGGCACTGTAAGAGGCTTGCTGGGTCTTGGGGTGAAAGAAATAAAAGAAAGCGTTCAAACTTCAAACCGCCGCTTGAAACCCGAAAGCTGAAAGATCTGAAAGCCGGAACTAGTTTACCAACAAACAATCAGAAAGTCTTTGGCCATGCAGCTGCTCAAAGTTGTCCACCAAAGCCAGGATTCCTTGCTTCATGTCCTGGTGGCATCTGGTGACCAGTTGAACCATGGGCCATTCAAAACCTAGAAAACACATGAAAAAATTGTTTTCTTAAAGACTTAGCAGTCAGAAACCCCAGAAACCCAATTCTTTCGGGAGGCCGAACGCTCCAAAACCATCCGCATCCCACGCCAAAAAAAGGTGAAAAGGTGGAGAACCATCAGTGTTTCTAGGTTCCTCAGGCAGCACCAGCTGCTCCAGGGTAGCGGAAGGTTTGTAGAGATTGCTGCCCTCGACCACCTCATTGATCTCCTGGCAAGGGATGTTTTCCATTGAGATGATGTTAATGGGACGAAGCGAAAGTTGACACAAGCCCCACCACGAAGAACTGCATCTAGAACGCGCAGTGATGTTTTTTTTCATGGAAATGAGCGAAACAAAAGGCTATCCTGCAAAAGTGTACTGTCTGTATGAAAATAAAATCCAAAAAATACCGGAACAAACAATCCTCAAGGATTTTCTCGACTTGCGTTGATGTCCCCCCTTCATTGAACACCACCTGGACACAAGTCCAGCTTTCCTTCCTAAATCTGCCTAACTCTTTTCAAAAAAAGATAAACAATGACAAAAAATCAAATTTGCACCATGGATATATATATATATATACAATTATATATGTAACTAAACCTCACTATCTGGACCCCCCCGCGTTTTCCCCGGCGCCGTGTCGAGACCCACCACGAAGTCCAAAATCCGGCGGTCAATGTGCACCGTGTGTCCAGTCAAGTCCTAATGGCTGTCTTTACAACATGGAAACGGGCCTGTAATCTCAATCAGCTCCACTATGATGCATATGCATGCATGTAGCTCTATGTATGTGTATATATATATAACGTCTGTACACAATTGTACACACATATACATACCTTAAGATCTGAAGCCTCAAGAGGCAGCAAAATGTAGAGATGGACACAGAAAAGAGGGCTTGACCCCTTGCAGCCATGGCGCTCCGCTTCGAGCACCCGCTCCGATGCGAATGATGCCACTACCTGGGGTCGCTGGACCGGAAGGATGGTGAAATATGTGAAATCCTTTAAAAGTACAAGACCACTTCCAAGTGCTGTTCATGTCGGCATCAGCTGATATCAGCCGTTCAACTAGCAGAACAACATCTGGCAAATGAAAGTTGGCGACTGTGGCTTTTAACCAGGCATGGTCACTTGGTCTCACATGTAGCGAGTTTTCGATCACCACGGGAAACTATACACCCAGGGGAAGACCATACTCAGTGCGCTTTGGTTGAACCACTTCCGGTGCTGAACAAGTGGCTAGCGAGGCGACTGGACTTGTAGAAATACACTCCTAAGTTGAAGATTCGGCATTGTCGCCTTTCAAATTTTCTGCCAACCATCGGTCTGTCCAAAATACTCGGTGGGCCACGCGCAAAGGTATATCTATAATTATATTGTATGAAAGCCAAATGTAGACAGGTCTATATGCAAATAATCTGTATATGTACATATTTGTGGGCATCGGTGCGCCCAGTACTCTGCTTTTATATAGACATTTGTATGCAAACAAACGAGGAAGCATATAGACACGCACATATTTTAAAGTGTAAATACATATGCATACATATGTGTACATATATATATATATATATATTGCTTATTTATATATATATATCTCTCTCTCTCTCTGGCCACATATGTATATATTATATATATATATATCACTCCACCGCCATCTCAGGGAGATCAGCTGTCACGCTGAAGGCGAGCTGTATATATTTATATACATACACGCATTTACAGTATGTACTTATTTACTTGTTTAGTTTTGTTATCTACATTTATCTACTAATTACTTATTTTTTTAATGCATTGTCTACAAGGATATATAAGGATATGCAAACATGATCACAATCATACGCAAACGTCATCACATATCCACAGAACCAGCACCAGCATCACTGGCTGCGGCACAGGCGTCGCTTTTGGACCTCCTCTTTAAAGTCCCGGCAGAAGGTCTCCAGAATGACTCGTACCTGGACCATGTTCTCCATGGGCCAAAAACAAATGGCGTGGACATCCAGGATTCCCTTGGATGTTGGGATCCAGAATTGGAATTCTTTCGTCACACAAGTCTCATTTTCTTTTCAAAAGCTCATTCAACCACCGCAAAGCCAGGAACAATTGGATCCAGATGAGAGGTCCATGTCATTTTTCCGCAGACTCCACTCTCCCCCTCCGTTACCAACGTTTCACCGCGGCCTGCAGTGGAACGTTCACACAGAAGCGTCGCTCGCCCACATTCAGCGTGGCCTGGATCTTGGGGGACAAAGTGTTGCCCACCAGCATCACCACCTGACATCGCTGGGCGAAGCGATCAAGCGGTCGATGAATGAAGGTTGAAGAAATGGTGATTCCAACATATTCCAACCCTATCCGAATGTTAATGTTTGACAGATTAAGGACGTGCTCACGTGTTATCCCATTTAGGGGATGGTACTCTTCCCCTGTTAAACATAGACCGTGAAGCATCGATTTTGGAAAATAAACATAGACTCTGGGGAGGCTTCTGGGTGTTTCTGGGTCTATCTTTTCTTGTAAAACCTACCTGCAAATCCAACAATGGGGATCACACAGACCCTGGGGATACAATGGATGATGATTGAAACCTACACAAAGGAAAAACTGCCAGGCAATTCTTTCAAAGAAGGGTGACAGAAAAAATTATGTCCATTGTCTGGAACAAGCGGGAGGATGGCCAGGGGCAAACATGGTCAAACGATGCGGTGGAAGCTCAAGACAAGCTGCCACACTCTTCTCGAAATCATCTAACCTCAGAACCAAAAAAGAACCAAGCAGCAAAATGCTATCAAGTACCAGTAACCATCATCAATTTACTAGTCTGGAAGGAAACTATATGGGAGAACCAAGGAGGTCGCCCAAATCTTCCCCTTTAAATGAAACAACATTTTTTTTCCGCAGCAGACCCTGGCGTCAAAAGAGGAACATCGGTGAAATGAAAGAGAACCTGAAACCAAGAAGAGACTCAAATAAAGTCAAAAAGCAGCACAAACACGAACCCCCAAACGCTGAAACATGATGAAACTTCACCTCAAACGCTTTACCAGTGACAGTCCCACGTATTCATTGGCTACATCACGTTTTCTGACACTTCTATCACTTCCATCCCCGACATTTACTGTAAGTTGCTTCATGTTGTTTCCATCATCTTCCCCCCTACCCACTTGTGCATCCCAGCTAGCACCAAGGGCTTCACAAAATGCCGAAAAACAGAGTTAAATATAGAATCCCCGCAGTTATGTATGGCAATTTTAGGCAACAATATATGTATGTATGAATGTATATTAATGTATGTTAATGTATATCAATGTATATTAATGTATATTAATGTATATTAATGCATATTAATGTATATTCATGTATGTTAGTACTATATATTAATGTATATTAATGTATATTAATGTATCTTAATGTATATTAATGTATATTAATGTATATTAATGTATACCAATGTATATTAATGTATATTAATGTATATTAATGTATCTTAATGTATCTTAATGTATATTAATGTATATTAATGCATATTAATGTATATTCATGTATGTTAGTACTATATATATATATGTATATTAATGTATCTTAATGTATCTTAATGTATATTAATGTATATTAATGTATATTAATGTATATTAATGTATATTAATGTGTATTAATGTATAGTAGTAATATATATTAATGTATATTAATGTATATTAATGTATATTAATGTATATTAATGTATATTAATGTATATTAATGTATATTAATGTATATCAATGTATATTAATGTTTATTAATGCATATCAATGTATATTCATGTATGTTAGTACTATATATTAATGTATATTAATGTATATTAATGTATATTAATGTATATTAATGTATATTAATGTATATTAATGTATATTAATGTATATTAATGTATATTAATGTATATCAATATATATTAATGTATATTAATGTATATTATGTAATATATATTAATGTATATTACATGTAATGTTAATGTATATTAACGTATATTAGTGTAAATTAATGTAAATTAACGCATATTAACGTATGTTAATGTATCTTAATGCATATTAATGTACTTAATGTATGTTAATGTATATTTGTATATTCTTTGTATATTTGGATGTATATTAATGTAATGTTGTACTAAATATTAATTTATATTAATGTATATTAATATATACTAATGTATGTTAATGTATTTTACTGGCTATATGAATGTATATTAATGTATATTATTTAATGTATATTAATGTATAATAATGTATGTTAATGTATGTTAATGTATGTTAATGTATGTTAATGGCTATATGAATGTATATCAATGTATATTAATGTGTGATAATGTATATTCATGTATATTCATGTAAATGAATGTAAATGAATGTATATCATTGTATATCAATGTATATTAATGTATATTAATGTCTATTAATGTATATCAATGTATATTAATGTAAATCAATGTATATCAATGTATATTTATGTATTTCAATGTATATTCATGTAAATGAATGTAAATGAACGTATATTAATGTATATTAATGTATGTTAATGTATATTAGTGTATATTAATGCATATTAATGTATATTTGTGTACATTAATGTATATTAATGTATATTAATGTAAATCAATGTATATTAATGTATATTAATGTATATTAATGTATATTAATGTATATCAATGTATAGTAGTAATATATATTATGTATATTAATGTATATTATGTATATTAATGTATATTAATGTATATTAATGTATATCAATGTATATTAATGTATATTAATGCATATTAATGTATATTTATGTATGTTAGTACTATATATTAATGTATATTAATGTATACTAATGTATATTAATGTATATTAATGTATCTTAATGTATGTTAACGTATATTAATGTATCTTGATGTATGTTAATGTATGTCAATGTATATTAATGTTTATTAATGTATATCAATGTATATCAATGTATATCAATGTATATCAATGTATATCAATGTATATTAATGTATATTAATGGAAATGAATGTATATCATTGTATATCAATGTATATTAATGCATATTAATGTATATCAATGTATATTAATGTAAATCAATGTATATCAATGTATATTTATGTATTTCAATGTATATTCATGTAAATGAATGTAGATGAATGTATATTAATGTATATTAATGCATATTAATGTATATTAGTGTATATTAATGTATATTAATGTATATTTGTGTACATTAATGTATATTAATGTATATTAATGTATCTTAATGTATATTAATGTATCTTAATGTATGTTAATTAATGTATGTTAATGAATGTTAATGTATATTAATGCATATTAATGTATATTCATGTATCTTAATGTATGTTAATTAATGTATGTTAATGTATGTTAATGTATATTAATGCATATTAATGTATATTAATGTGTATTAATATATATTAATGTATATTGGTGTAAATTAGTGTAAATTAACGCATATTAATCAATATTAATCAATTCTAATGTATATTCATGTATATTAATGTATATTAATGTATATTAATGTATATTAATTTATATTAATGTATATTAATGTATATTAATGTATCTTGATCTATGTTAATGTATGTTAATGTATATTAATGTTTATTAATGTTTATTCATGTATATCAATGTATATCAATGTATATCAATGTATATGAATGTATATTAATGTATATTAATGGAAATGAATGTATATTATTGTATTTTATTGTATATTAATGTATATTAATGTATATCACTGTATTGTAATGTATATTAATGTATGTGTATGTCTTTATACATATATATATGTGTGTGTGTGGGCTATAAGATGTTTTAAATGCTCTAAGCCACCGAACTCCCGGAGGGCTAAGTCGAGGCGCTTGGTCTTCTGCAGCAACACCTCCAGCCTGGGCACCTCCAAACCGGCCTCTTTCGTCAACTTCAGGCGATGGTGGATCCGGGCCAGGGCCAACTTACCTGAAAACCCTCAATGGGCTGGAGAATCTTAACCGGAAACCATCGATTTACCCATGAAATATGGCTGCTTTTTGTGATTTTTCCCGTGAAACCAATCCGATTGACTACGTGGGATTTTTTCACAGTTTGCTATGGAAAATAGATGAAAATGGCTAGTTAAATGTCCATTTGCTTCAATGATTACCTGTGATTGGTGATTTTGAAAAATAGCCGTGTTCAATTACCAAAGGGTATGTTGGGCTGATGATGGAGGACGTACTTTTTAAACAAATGGATGCATCAATGATAGATCAGCATACCCAGAAAACGTTCATTTACATCAATGTATGTTTTCATCTGGTCACATGCCTATGTCGATGTATCGGTATATGGCCTATGATGCATGCTTATACATATGTATATATATATACATATGCATTCATACATGTATGTATATACATATATATGTATATATGTAGATATATATATATATATACATAGTTACAGTTATATGTGGTCATACATATATATATATATATGTGTGTGTGGTCATATATATATACATATCATATACATATATAATTATATATTACATACGTGCACACACACACACAGAGTACACAATATCCATAATTAATGTACATCAATGTCTATGTCATTATATCTCTATCTTCAATTAAAAGAATGGTCAAACTTCCTGAGACCTTCACCTTATGGGCGGCCCAGCTACGCTTGGCTTCGTGCTCGAAGACGTTGATCTTGCGAGATCGCAGAAGGAATGGCTCCTGCCAGTTTTGCCCCGAATTTCTCCGGGTCCCCGTCGGGGAAGTTACCCTCCAACATAAGGTAGGCAATATAGGACCACCGAGAAAAAGATAGAAAAGAACTGGAAACCTGAAAATTACAATTGTATATACAGTGTATATATATATATTACATGAAATTATGGTGAAAAATGGTGAAAACATCATCGAACTACCAGCCTGGAAATACGGTTCTATCTTTTTACGGGTTACTATATAGGGGTTTGATAAATCCCCTTCTTTCATAGGTTGATGATGGTGCATAACTCTATCCATACGGGACCGCGCCACGTCCATTGCTCTTGGCGTCGTATCCCCGTCTCCCTGGCGGCTCTGCCCACTCCTCAACGCCAACATCCTCCTTGGTGCTTTGCCGTCGATGTTCCGCGATGCGAATTTCACATTCCAGCAAGCTAAACCTGAGCCATGGATGTGTTCACTGGGGGGAAGGTGGTCGGTGATTGATGTCCTCACCTTGCTGAAACGCCAAGATTATCCAAGCCAAGTAGCTGATCGTTGAGGTAGTCCAAAGAATCTTTGTAAGGCCTCCGGTACTGATTCATCATACGTGCAGAATGTAGTAAAACAATAGATATTCAATATGATTTTGGTCCCGCACATCCACAAAAATCAACCACATACTATGCATACACACATATATATATATATTCATATATTCAGTGCACCCAAGAAGAAAAAACCCTTATGCAAATCATTCATGCGTTTATATGTATATGCATATATGCGCATATATATATATTGATATATATATATATATGTATGTATGTATGTATGTATGCATGTATGTATGTAATATGTATATGTATATGTATATGTTTATAAGAATACATGTGTATATGCACACAAATAATCATACATATATTATATACACATATGTATGCGTGTACGATTATGATCTTATATATGCATGCATCTGTGCAAATCTACATGGCTAGGCCATGCTGTGCGTGTACATTTTGTGATGTTTCCAAGCGGCTGCTGGAACTCAGATTCATCCTCCACACTCCTGGGAGGGTGGGAGAAATGTCCTGATGAAAACCCTCGGGTTTTTGAATCTCCAAACAGAGGACATTTATACCGCCCTACAGTTTGGTAATGTTGGATTGATAAATGGGATATTTGTGTTGGTTGAGATTATGTCGTCTAATTATGTGGTGAATGTCCTAACAAGGGTTGGTAGTTGTCACCCAACTATAGGGGATAGAATTGACATCATCTCCATCAAAAACACCCGAAACCCGACATTTACCAACCCCTGTGGGATGTTGCTAAACTCGGTCTATTGATAGGGGGGCACTAATTTGAATTGTAATGCCATGTAATGTGATGTATCATCACTATTTTGTGGGTCTTTCCCACCCAAGGATAGTCAAGGTATGTCAAAGGGCTATTAATCCAGGGTTTGCATTCATGTGTTCGTGGGGATATGACGTGACAACACACCACAAGAAGAGTGAGACTTGCACGATTTGGAGACATCAACAACTTATTATAATGATAAAAAATGGGGATGCGATTCTGGAAACACCAACAGAATATTCAGCAACTATCTCACCCTCCCACCAAAAAAAAAAGATTCCGTGTTGGGTTGCAGCCGCTAAAACCGTCAAAATTATGTGGCGTAGACTGGTAGAAGCCCACAGTCGATTCTGCACTCCACTTCGATTGCTGGGGAAGGCCCTACTCCATCTGCCCATATCGGATCTTCAAATGCAACAAAGTCGATGTGTTTAAATGCATGAGATGGACTGCGCGAGGGTTTCTTAACCTAAAATCATCGAAAATTGCATACTCTACATCAGGGGTGTTGTACGGGGATGGTTACAGATGTTAATATGGGGGGTTCCTAAAATGGTGTTACCCCTAAATCATCCATTTTGTTTCGGATGTTCCAAAGTCACCATGGGTTTCATCCCAAGTCCAAGGGGCTCGGAAGCGACCGACTCCTGGCGCAACGGCGGATTTCATCCGTTTCAAACCGGGGATGGGGATGGAAACCCTATATTTCAACCTATTGGATCACCCAACTTGGGATATAATGAATATTTATGTATATATATGTGTGTGTGTGTGCGTGTGCGTGTGCGTGTGCGTGTGTGTGTGTGTGTGGGGTATGAAATTCAGATCGAATGTGAGCTGGGAATGGTTTTTTCAACCTCTGGGATCATCATTTGTTTTCACGTCAGCATTTCTGCGCCTGTCCAAACAGCATTTCTGCAGCATCCTGGACAAAGAAACCCCATGTCTCCGACCCAAGCCATGGCAGAAATCTGCCTGTTGGCCCTCTGTGGTGGTCTCTGGCATCTCTGGGGCCTGGCCGGTGGTCGTTGAATCCCTATACTACAATGGGTCCATTAATATTTTTTTGATTTGAAATTTGGATTTGAGTTCATGCGTCATACCAATAATTTATTGATCAAACACATGACTATTTTTCCAATAGTAAGGCTAATAGCAATAGTTTGAAAAGTCTCAAGCATCCGGATTTCTCCTGGGGATTCCGTGGTTCCTTTGAGTCTCAACTATATAGTGAAGTTTGGAGAATCAACCGTTTTGATCCACATCCATATATCGGGTTTCAAGGCTTTGGAGTTCATGCGCAAGCTTAATTACCCTCTTGTGATTTGACATCGCCATGGAAGACCACCACTTTAAATGGGTAAACGATGAAACTACGTTGGCATATTGTCTATACTATATACATGCTTTAAACTACCAGAGGCGAAATCCCATTAAATCCAATGTTTTGTGAGCTAAATCCCCATAAATCACAAAAACAAGATGCAGCCCACGTGACAACATCAAGATGTATCAAGAGCGTCTTGGAAACTTACGTGAAAACATCAAGAGCGTAGTATCAAGAGTGTCTTGGAAATTTATTTGAAAACATCAAGACCGTAGCATCAAGAGTGTCTTGGAAATTTACTTGAAAATATCAAGACCGTAGCATCAAGAGTGTCTTGGAAATTTACTTGAAAAAGTCAAGAGCGTAGCATCAAGAGCGTCTTGGAAGCTTACGTGAAGACATCAAGAGCGTAGCATCAAGAGCGTTTTGGAAACTTTCTTCAGGAAGGCAACAGCATTGCATCAAGAGCGTCTGGAAACACAGGCGAAAGAAGCCCCCCAACCCCCTCAACCCCCCCATCCAACACAACCATATGGCCTGACAATCATCATGGTGCAAGACAAAAACAGGGACCGTTCCCGTGTACTGAGAGTACGTGACACCAAAAACATATGGAATAGATGCAATTTTTATCAAATTTGTGTTGTCATGTATTCAAAATTATTTCCATGTTTTTCTCATATAAATCCAAATGCATTCCAAATGCATCCAAATGCATGCCTAGTCAGGTTATTTAACCCCAAAATGGTTCCAAGTCAAATCCCTACGCCCTTATCTGTTCCTTCCATCTTGCTGCTCAAAGCCTGCGGTTGGCCAGGTGGAACGCCCGAAACCTTCATACCCTCGGCTTGGTAGGGTTGCCCATGACTTACAGTAATATGCAGCAATGCCAGGATCAACTGCTGCAACCTTCAAACTTCTTCAAAACAGCTTGTGAAGATTTGTGAAGTCACGGAGAAGTCTTGGAAGACTTCCCGAGGCGCCATTTTGCTCCTTTGGCACCGAGTCTGTCGACGTCGGAAAGCCGATATACCAAATCGGGCAGGGACTGCAGCCATTCGGCTGCCAAATCTGAGCCACAACGATCAGAGCTCACAAATCGCAAATTCTGAAAATTAGATAGAATATGATACAATAACTCATAGGACCTATAAAACCATGTAAAACAATGTAAAACATGCTAGTGTTTGTTAGTGTGTTTTAGGGCTGCTTTCAATGATTTCCCCAACTAAGCAGCACCTGTTGTGGTGTGGTCCCTACCGCAGCAGGGAGGTCAAAGCGCGAAGCACTGGACATGGACCCGGCTTTCCAAGGGGTGGTGTAATATTTGGAAGGGATCAAAGATCAAAGATCCATTAAAATCATTAAAGTTTTTTCTGTATGGCAGATTCTACAGACATCTACAGACACTATCAGAACTATCACATGCTTTGGCTGACTTCACCCACTCAGAATCCATGACTTTCACTGCGGCAGGGGCCTCAGCCAGTGTCCTTGGCAGGCCCAACGATGAGATTGCGATGCTGCTCCACCATGACATAAGGGACATAAGGGACTGGAGATGTCTGGAGTATCTCAAAAAAAATGATGAAAATCCAGTTTCGAAAAACCTTTAAGTCTTTTTGCTTGTTTTGATGCTATCTTTTAGTCAAACATTGGTTGCAACCCACGTGGTTTCCCGCAGATCCCTCCTCAGACTCTGACACCTCCTGCCACCTGGGGTGCTGAGCGTTGCCATACTGCTTCAGACGGTTTGACACCACCAGCTACCTTCAATCAGCACCCAACTATTGTTGGCCCTGGAGTGGTTTGAGTTCAAGGAACCCATTCCCAACATCGATAAGTTGAAAATTCTTGCCATGTCCCATCGGCGTAAAGCTGCGGCACCTCTTTCGACAGAAGCTGAATGAGATCTGGGTTGGAGAAGAGGTCCATCAACTCCTCCAGGCGCATGGCCACGCCATGTCACACCAACTCCAGGATCCGGCAGGATCCGGCAAGGCCATGCTGGGCCAAGTGCCTCATGGCCTAAAAGGCCCCCTGTCCTTGCTAGACATGCCATCACCTTCTTGTGGCTCGGGCGCGTCAGCCTCGAAAGCTGCGCAGCTTCAAGTGTTGCAGTTTCGAATGCGACAACCGGCTGGCCCTCAAGCGGCCTTTGAAGGTAGGAAAAAAGGCGTTAATTATCAATAATTCTGCATGTATATACATAAATATATATATGTGTGTGTGTGTGCAATCATAATCATAAAAAATAATAATAATATACATATATTTACATATATTCATATACATATGGAATATGTATATATATATATGTGTGTGTGTGCGTGTGTGTGCATGTGTGTGTGTGTCTTTGTGTGTATATGTGTGTGTGTGCGCTATTATTTATTTATTTATATATATATGTGTGTGTGTGTGTAATGCGTGTAATGTCATTATTAATTATCCTTGCGTGTACAGTAATGTCGATAGACTTTGTCATGTCCTCGTATCATGTCCCATCCACTGCTCAATTTCCTCAGGAGGCAGCAACCTCCGGAGCTTCCCCGCCTCAGGCGCTGGTTCCTCCTTCTTTTCTGGCGGCTTCTCTTCCTGTTCCAGGACAGGGTCCCTAGTGACTCTATGGCTAGGCAGCCATGTTTCGTCTTGACTCTTGCGTGCTATGTGTCCTGAATCCAAACAAAGCATGAAAGAAATCAAGATGAGATATGATATCAGTGGAATGAATCATCTTGAAATTCTCAAATAAGACTGGAAAGGGGGAAAAAAACATCCCACAAAAGCCTTCTCCTTCGGCTTCTCCTCTGCCTCCTGCGAAGGGGTCTCTCAGAATACATGGGTCAATTTTTTGGGGCATCAATGTGCCCACAAAATCCCACATTTCAAATAATCCATACACCATATTCGGGGTTGACG